CCCCGCCAGCAGGGCTCAGGCTCTCGGCCGCCCTGCCCCGCCCCCCGGACTTCAGTCATCCCCCATCAGCTCCCCTCCCCCCGATTATTTTTAGTAAAAGTCCCCAACAGGTCATGGGCTCCTGTGAATTTTTGTTTATGGCCCGTGACCGCTCCATGATTTTTACTAGATATAACTGTGACAAAATCTTAACCTTAGTCAATAGTAAGAATTAAGATACCCACCAACAAAATGGCAATTTTCTTTTCTTCATTTAATTGTAATGCCTCTTTAGCCTCTTTCTCGCTTGTATAGTGTTGTATGTGTCTCTGAAAACTGTTCTGCAGTGGGGGCACCTGGAGCTCTGCGCCGCCGGCCCCAGAGCTCTGACCTACTGTGGGCAGTGGGAGACCCTGAGCTCCGAGCCACCATGGGCAGCGGGATCTGAATCCCCACCGGTGGTGAGTGCTGAGCCCCCCACAGGTGGCGGGTGCTGGACTGCTCCCCGCCAGCAGGGCTCAGGCTCTCGGCCGCCCTGCCCCCCCCCGGACTTCAGTCATCCCCCATCAGCTCCCCTCCCCCCGATTATTTTTAGTAAAAGTCCCCAACAGGTCATGGGCTCCTGTGAATTTTTGTTTATGGCCCGTGACCGCTCCATGATTTTTACTAGATATAACTGTGACAAAATCTTAACCTTAGTCAATAGTAAGAATTAAGATACCCACCAACAAAATGGCAATTTTCTTTTCTTCATTTAATTGTAATGCCTCTTTAGCCTCTTTCTCGCTTGTATAGTGTTGTATGTGTCTCTGAAAACTGTTCTGCAGTGGGGGCACCTGGAGCTCTGAGCCGCCGGCCCCAGAGCTCTGACCTACTGTGGGCAGTGGGAGACCCTGAGCTCCGAGCCACCATGGGCAGCGGGATCTGAATCCCCACCGGTGGTGAGTGCTGAGCCCCCCACAGGTGGCGGGTGCTGGACTGCTCCCCGCCAGCAGGGCTCAGGCTCTCGGCCGCCCTGCCCCCCCCCCCGGACTTCAGTCATCCCCCATCAGCTCCCCTCCCCCCGATTATTTTTAGTAAAAGTCCCCAACAGGTCATGGGCTCCTGTGAATTTTTGTTTATGGCCCGTGACCGCTCCATGATTTTTACTAGATATAACTGTGACAAAATCTTAACCTTAGTCAATAGTAAGAATTAAGATACCCACCAACAAAATGGCAATTTTCTTTTCTTCATTTAATTGTAATGCCTCTTTAGCCTCTTTCTCGCTTGTATAGTGTTGTATGTGTCTCTGAAAACTGTTCTGCAGTGGGGGCCCCTGGAGCTCTGAGCCGCCGCCCCCAGAGCTCTG